AAGTTCTGCATAGAATTTTATAATCTTTTTTTTATTTAAAAGATATAGATTTAATGAATTTATAATATTATTTTTGGTTTAATATTTTATTTATTTGGCTTTATATAAAATTTTAAAAAGTGTCCACAAACATATAGTAGGCTACTGTAGTATTAGTATTTTTGAAAGTGTTTTGTATTTGTTATTTTATAATAATTTTGGTAGTGCGAAAATTTTTATTAGATGTAGTATGCTTACTTGTATGTGTGTGTTTTTGATAATTGTAAATAGTAAATATGAGTAATTTTTAGGGTTTGTTATTATTAAAATATTGATAATGTATTGATTATATTAGTATTTTGTTAGTACATAAATTTATAAATGTATTTATAGAATTAAGTTGTAGTAATTAAACGGTAATAAAGTACTTAGCTTTGTAAAGTTTGTATTTTAAAAATATATTATTAGTACTGTAAATTTCTTAATTTTAGTAAGTTCAATTTTGTTAGGTTTTAGCTAAGTATGGTTTGTTATTATTTGTTATAATAATAAAGTGTGGTTGTTATGTTATTTTTTAATGTAAAAAAAAGATTATTACGATTTTGTTGTTTGTATAATGTGTTAAAGAGTTTTTTTAGTATATGTTTTCTTATTGGTAATATATGTATTGTGTTTTGTTAAGATATGTGAATTGTGTATATACTAATTTAGTGTAAGATTGTTTTTATTAGTTTTAGTATTTAGCTTTGTATTTTCATCGAAGTAGTGAAGGTTGTAATTTTTCATTTTGTGTATTAGAAAAAAGGATATATTTATTTTATTTATATAATATTTTTTTTGTTTATATAATTAATTTTTGTTATATTTGGTTATAATTATGTACAAATTATAGTAAACTTGTGTGAATGTTTGTTTATTTAGTTTGTTTTATGTCAATATATTAGTTGTCATTGTGTTATTTGTTTTGAAAAAAGTTTTTAATTATTGAAAATTTCTTTGTAAACAACATTACATGTAAAAACTCCTTGCATGCTAGAAATGTTGCCATTCTTTATTAATATTTTAATTTTATGTAGTGATTGAGCTCTTGAGAATGCGACATAAAGTTGTCTATGTGTAAATACATGCTCAAGAAGGTAAAGACCTACATAAGGTATAGTTTGTCCTTGGGATTTGTTGATTGTTAATGCGAAAGCAAGTCTTATTGGGAACTGCTTTCTCTTTAGAGTAAAAGGAAGTTTTATATTATCAGGGGGGATTAATGGTATTTGAGGAAGGAATACATTATTTCCTTTATGGTTGCCTGTTGTTATTGTAGCTTTTATTATATTTGGGTAGAAAGCTTGACAAATCAATCTTGTGCTGTTGCACAAACCATTTGCTGAATCTCAGTTGCAAAGACACATAATTGGTGTACCTATTTTCAGATGTAGTTTATGAGAAGGGAGACCGTTTGGTGTTATAGAACTAAGAAATTCTTGTTGATAAAGTTCATGAATATCATCTGGAACAGAATCGTAACTTTTGTATATTAGCATGTCTTCAGGTGTTTGGTTCAAGATTATTTGATTAATTTGATCAACATATTCATTTTTAGTAATAAGAATTGCGCAATCAGTTAAGTGTGAAATATCTAGATTATGGTTTGTTATGTTTGGATAAATATATTCTATAAGAGTTTGTAATGATTCTTTATTTTCTCAAGAGACAATCATGTAATCAGGAATGTGAACCATGTCATTATTGATATTTGGTTCAGTTTCATTTCCAATATTTAGCAAAAAGTTTTTAAAGTGATTTTGGTTATCATCATTTTGAATTCTTATATTAGTTTGGAGTTGGAAAATTTCCATAGATGACCATATAGAAGACCATTTTAAAGAAGCATTTATTATTTGTTCATGACTACCTCTTGGGACAACTGGTAATATCTGACAGAAGTCCCTGCCAAAGACTATCAATTTTCTACCAAATGGAAGTTCACTTTCTATCAAATCTTTAAGAGTTCTATCTAAAGCTTCTACAGTATGACGGTGTACCATAGGAATTTCATCCCATATAATTAGCTTAGCTAAGTGTAATAGTGAAGCTAGTTGACTTTGTTTACTTATATTATATATTGAATTAGAATCAGAATTTAGAGATATATTGAATCTGGAGTGGGTGGTTCTTCCTCCAGGCATAATCAGCACAGCAATGCCAGATGAAGCTGTTGCAAGAGCAACAGAAGATTGTGAGCGAGTTTTACTAAGTAAACAAAGATAAAGAAAGGTTTTTCCTGATCCAGCAGGCCCCTCAACAAAAAAAACGCCAGGTTGATTTTTTTCAACATGGTCCATAACTTTGTCAAATATTATTTTTTGATCTTTATTTAGTAGAGCTATTTTTTCCAAATCATTATTATTTGTTGGAATATTTAATTCTTCTAATAATAACCTTGGTAGTTCATTACAATATCATTCTTCTGATAAGTCAAGCGAAGGAAGATCAAATTCATTTAGTTTTCTGTGATGTTGTTTTAAAATAGTTTTGATATAAAGTAAAACTGCATTAATATGGCACTGATTTCTAAGAATCTCATTTTTCATAAAATCTTCAGACATAGCGGCAAAATTTTCATCCCATAAGGCCCGAACGTTTCCTAGTTCCCCAAATATTAGAATGATTGCAAATAACTGTCTCAAGTTATATGGCATTTGAAATAGGGCTGCTTCTTGCATTGCATTATTGTATAGATTTTCATTTTCTATTATTCCATGCCTTAACGCACTTTCTTGAAAAGTTGTGAACAAATGGCCTCTAACTTTCTTTAGGTCAACAAAGGAGGTAGCTCCTTTTACATGGTTTAGAAGTAGACATAAATAATATTTGTCTCCTTCATTTGGATTTACTGCATATATTCTTCCGACCATATTTCTTTGATAACGTTTTGATCACTTCTTATTTTTTTTGTTTCAAACGTAATAATATGGAAATTCATGATATAAGTAATTTTTTGCGTCAGGATCATTTTTATTCATTTCAAAATACTCAGTTAGCATTGTTTTTATATTTAGATCATTGTCAATTATTTCATTAATACTAACATCTTGAGAAAAAATTATAGTTTGTTGTTGGGGAAGATGGATTTGTAGACAAATTACTGATGGGCTAATTTGAGATATATTGAATCCAAAAATTCACCAGCAAGCTTCTGTGGCCGAAATCCATCTAGCATCTAAGTATTGACTTATTCATCTTTATTAGTTATTTGTGCAGCCCAGTTATCTTCATTAGTTATTTGAAGTGCAGCCCGGTCATGTCCCTTGTACATATATTTGTACAAATATTTGATTGACTTAATGCTTGAGCAAATTTCAACGTTAATGTGATAATCATATTTAAAAAATAAGTAAGGGTTATAAGGGATGACCGAATGATTGTCTAACCATACATTTCTATATAACACTTGACGTCCGTTATTGTGACAACGATATATTGGGTAAGAGTCATCTCCTTCTCTTGTAGTTTGTTCGAATTTTTTAGGAAAATGCTTAGTACATGAACCATTTTTCATACAAGATGCTTTGAGATTAGATTGTCCATATGGACTGTGCATCATGTTAAATATTACAGTTTAGTATAATCTTGGATCTGTTTCTGGGTCTGGTATTTAAACAACGATAATAGTATCATAATCATCAGCTCCATGATATTTGTTATTTGGATAGATAATTACTAATAAATGTGCATGTGGAAGTCCACATTTTTGGAATTCTATTACATGCATATGTGCAATTACACAACCAAATATACCTCGTTCAAAGATATCTTTTGTAATTTCTTTTAATTTGGCGTGAAATATTCGAGCTGCAAGATTAAATGTGTAATATATATGTTAGGTTAGATATACTGAATTTGTTATTATTAGTTGCATAATTTATATCAATACCAGGTCATATGATAGTTGGTTATATATTAAGTAACATATTGAGAGTTAAACTAAATATATTTTTAAATGTTGTTTTGATTCATTGAAATCCCAATTTTAATATTGTGATTTAGACAGAATTTAGGCTGTTCGAAGTTGATTTTTCGGTTAACATTACTTTCTAAGATACCTGGGGAGAGTAAAATAAAGCAAACATATAAAATGAATAAATATGGATCAATTTCATTGGTCGATGTAAATCAAGTGGTCGGTGAGATATTCATTTTTTGGGAGAGACTTCAACTGGGAAGGTAATATTAATCAAAAATTATCTACAAACGGCCTTAATAGAACTGAGAATTTTGATTAAATTTAAAATTTAATCATATAAATAAAAAACAATTTAGATATTAAGATTTTAATATGGGTGCTTGTAGTTGAATTTTTGGTTTTGAAAGAGCAAAAGAAATATATTTAAAAATTATTTGTGTTTTGATTAGTTTATTTTTGGGAAGAAACTTTAATTGGGGAAAAAAGATGTTAACAGTCATAGGACATGTCCCCCTGCAGGGGTTCAAAATTTAATTTATATAAAAATTTAATGTCGATCATTTAATTTTTTATATGAAAAATTTGCTTTTCAAACAGTTTTTTTTATGACAACACCATTTTTGTAAAATATTTTGTTCATCACTTCTTAAGTAAAAAATATATCTTCAATCTTCTTCTATTGATTTATAAAAATTTAAATTTTTAATTTCTTTTTGTTTGAGGAAGATCTTTGTTTGAAGTTTGGGTATATTAACCTCTGTAATATTACTTTAAAATAAACGGTCTCGAATTTAACTTCAAAGCAAACTGTTAAATTGTGTTTTTTTGAAGTAACTTAAAGAAAATTATTATTTTTGACTACAACACAGTAAAGTTTCCACATTGCCGCATAACTTAGCACTATTACAGATTTACGTTTTTGTGGTGACATATCTTCTATGAACTTCTCGAATTTAACTTCGAAGCAAGTTTTTAGCTATGTTTTTTTTGAAAAAACTAACAGAAAAATTTTATTTTGAGTCACAACACAGCGAGGTTTTCACATTGCAAATAACTTCACATTATCTTCGACATCCATTTCATTTCGACAGCATTGATCAAGGTCGTTCGTCACAGCAACATTTCCCATCTCAGTTGATCGTTGATACCGAGCGAATGCCTTATTGTTCTTTTCAACTTCAGGTACGTTCTTCTTTTTAATTCCAACTCTTTTGACTTCAACGTTAGCTTTAACTAACGTATTGCCTATCTCAATTCCTTGCATCCCATCATCATTTATTTCTGCTTCCAATTCCAATGCCCATTCTTTTGCTTCGTCGTACGTTATTGGACACATTGATTCAACCTCCCATTGGTACGATTCACATAACCCGCCTATATACCAATATAACTCTTTGTAATCTTTGATTATCCCTTTTACCAGAACCACAAGCGTCTCATAACGGTAAGTGTATGACAATATAGATTCATGGTCCTTTTGCTTTATACTCCACACCTTATTAATCTTTTCCTCAACTTCTACAATCCCTTTAATCATTGCCTTCTTCAAACTGTACCACGTATCACACGTCTTGATTATCCTACATATCCACGGCCTTTGACCCTTCGACACATACAATACAACCCTTTTTTGTTTCATATTATCATTCCACCTTTTCAATTCACAATGTTTTTCATAATCCCAAAGAAAGTCCACCAATTCGACAACACCACGATCATAAAACGGCTTTTCAAGATCATCAAACGTTGGACGCATAACACCACTACTTCGCCGTTTCCCAGGTAACAACGTTCTTTGTTGTTTCATTATATTCACACTCATTACTAACGTCGTTCTTTTACTTGCAAATATATCGCAAGAGAACTTCCACTTAATCCCTGAAACCTTAACACTTGTTTTATCAGGTCCGCAAGTTTCACCGTTTCTTATACTTCTCTTTCACGAATTACTACCTGGGGCTTCCAAGTCCAGTGATTAAGAACTTAACTGAGTATTTCAGCGAGCTTACTGTTCGCTTGCCCAGGTCCTTCTGTCATGTAGTTTTCCAACTACCTATTGCTTTACTCAAATTTATGGGTCTTTTCATGCTTGGCTTTCTCTTATACCGGCGTATCATTCAGGTACTAACCACCAAAGCGAAGACAACACAATTACACGGTTTTTTAACTAAAGGTTATTTTAGAAAACCTAATTGCGAATTCAAACTTCTGGTCGATTCCCTTAAAGGATCACGACCCTTATATATTATTAATCATTGCGTCACAATTAGACTTTTAATTAATTTACAATCATGCAAAACCTGATCATGCCATCTATGATCACGTTACACCAACCAATTGCATGGGGTCCTGAAATTCACCATGACACCACTATCAAAAATCACTCTACAGATGGGCTGGAAACATATTTGTGAGATTGGGATTATAAGTGTGGTAATTTGCTGAGTATTATTGGTAATTTCGATACAGTATGATACACTATATATTAATATAACAAATAATAAAAAATTAATAATTGTGGCAGATTAAAATGAAATTCAGATTAAAATGAAATAATAATATAAAATCTTGAAAAATAAATTTTTTTGGTGTGTATTTTTAGGGTTAGGGGTTAGAATTAGGAGTTAGGATTAGAGTAAAATATATTAAACAAGTATAAGTGGGTT